AACTCTATGATTCTATGATTCTTTTTTCTATTAAAATCCCCAAGACACTCTCATTCATAGCCGAAGTCCACTCCCCCTTTTTAAAGCTCCAATTCGATCTCTGATAAGATCAGTATTACAATCAGAGGGAATTCCCTCACCATAGCGAGTGCCCTATGGTGGCCATATCTAAAATTCATTTCTTAGTTATATTTATATTTTGCCTTTTGTCCAAGAAGCTCAAGGCCCACACCCACTTCACTTTATTCTCACAACCCTTTGAAGGTAGGTCAGTTGAAAGAGGGACTGGTCCAAGGTCACCCAGCAAGTTTTCTATCTGAGTGGGAGAGGAGAAGCCAGATCACTCAGGTCCAATACTCTAACTTCTAGGCTAGAGGACAACCCTCTGTGGTTGATGATCCTCTCTTTGTAAAAGACAAGATTCAAAGATCTGCAGGGAAACCAGGTCTGTCAGAGAACAACTTTCTATCTGAAGTCCTCTCTAATTTAGCTTTTAGGCCAAAGAACACAATGCAGGGACAGCACAAGCCTTGATGCTGCTCCATCCACAGTTAGCATCACTGTCTTCTCCACCAGGATGAGAAGTTCTAAATTGCTATTAAAATCAGGGCAAGAATTGTGCAGCCTTCCTTATGCTTTTTATCTGTAACTCTCAGCAGCCCTAGCCGCCACAGCCAATCTTTACAAATGCAGAGAGTTTCAATCCAGGGAGTGAAAGGTGGGAAAGGAGGGCTAGACTATTTGCACCTCAATTTAAATTATACTCACTGTTTATGAAGTTGCATCTATACATATAAATTAACAGATATGTATTCTATGCACATCTGGCTCTTTCTTTGTCCTCTCCCTTAGTGATACATTTCCCCACCATCTTAACTGTGGGCTGCAATCCTAGGGCTGAGATGTATACCACCCCCAAACATACCATTTGGACTCTAGCCATTCTGTGCCTCACGAGGAGTGGGTAGAATCAAACAAGCATCTGGCTACATTCCTGTAGCCAGATGCAAAATTATTACATCAGTGCTGAGATCAGCTTGGGTCCTCAAGAGGTCTCTGTGCAACTGTAATAATTTAATGCCTCACTACAGGGAAATAAGGGGACGTGGTGGCTTAGTGGTTAAGACACCAATTCTGATGATTGTAAGGTCGGAAATTTGGCAGTTCGAGGCCCAAGTGCTGTGTGACAGAGTGTGCTCCCATCACTAGTCCCAGCTTCTGCCAACCTAGCAGTCTGAAAGCATGTAAAAGTGCAAGTAGATAAATAGGTATCGCTTTAGTAGGAAAGTAACAGCGTTCTGTGTAGTCATGCTGGCCACATGATCACAGAGTTGTCTTTGACAACGCTGGCTCTTTGGATTAGTAACGGATATGACCACCATCCCCTACAGTCAGACACAACTTGACAACCTTGTCAAAGGGGAAACCTTTACCTTTACTTTTGCCAGGGCATAGCCAGACACTTCTCTGGTCCTCCCTGCAACCCATGAGGGATGGAAAGACTATGCCAGGAGAGGGGGGCAGGCTTCAGAGGCTCTCCTTTGGACAAGCT